CTCAGGATGAGTCCATGATTAGGAAAACCAAAACAACTGACATGACTTCAGGCACGTCCGGAGGATGAAGAAAGTAGCTCTACTCTCTCCTGTGCTGGCAAAGCTAACCCTGCAGGCCTGCGTTCAACGCTGAGATTCTCTTTTATTAGTTTCCTGTGGCTGCCACAAGACATCACAAACTTGGTGGCTTAAAACAACACAGTCTCCCAGTTCTGGGGCCCCAAAGTCTGGTGTTAGCAGGGCTGACTCCTTCTGGAGGCTCAAGGGAAAAACCGCCTCCAGCCCCTCTCCCAGTGTCTGATGGCTGCCAGCCAGGCCTTGCACCCGCTGGTCTGTGGCAGAATGATGCCATCTCTGTAACCTCCTCCTTCCCAGGGCTGCCTTCTCTGTGTGTCTTTCTGTATCTTTTCTTCTTCTTACAAGGACACTAGTCTTTGGATTTAGGGCCACACTAAACTAGTATGATTTTATCCTGATCGTCAACTAATTATACCTGCAGAGATCCTATTTCCAAATGAGGGCATATTCTGAGGTTCTAGAGGGACATGAATTTTTGTGGACACTATTTAACTCATCTCTTAGTCCTTTCGCGATGCTGTAACAAAATACCTTAGACTGGGTAATTTATAAACAGCATAAACTTGTTTCACATAGTTCTGCAGGCTGGGAAGTCTGAGATCAAGCCACCAGCTGATGTGGCATCAGGGCCTTCTGTTTGCTTCATCAATGGAGACTTCTTTGTGTCCTCACATGGCAGAAAAGGGCAAACATGCTTCCCCCTCCCCCAGTCTCTTTTTTTTTTTTTAGACAGAGTCTCACTCTGTCACCCAGGATGGAGTGTAATGATGCGATCTCGGCTCACTGCAACCTCCGCCTCCCAGGTTCAAGTGATTCTCCTGCCTCAGCCTGCTGAGTAGCTGGGACTTCAGGCACCTGCCACCATGCCCGGATAATTTTTGTATTTTTTTTTTTTTTTTTTTAGTAAAGACGGGGTTTCACCATGTTGGCCAGGATGGTCTTGATCTTGTGACCTCATAATCCCCCGCCTCAGCTTCCCAAAGTGCTAGGATCACAGGTGTGAGCCACCACGCCCAGCCCCCACGAGCCTCTTTTATAAGGGCACTAATCCCATTCATGAGAGCTCTGCCCTCACAAACTAATCAGCCCCAAAGGGCCTACCTCTTAACACTATCACATTGGAAATGGAACTTCAACATATGAATTCGGGGGGACACCAACATTCAGACTACAGTGCCCACTACACCCTTTCAGTGGAATATTAATAGACAAATGCATTCTGAGGTTTAAGATACCATATTCCCAAGAATGGTCAAAATAAATAGGGATATGAAGCCTAAAGGTTAGAGGACTTGAGTCAGACAAGGAAACTGTCTATAAATATCTGAACCATTTTTTTCCAGATGAAAACGACTTTCTAACACTCGGTTTGCCAGAGATGAATGTGGTATATTTCTGTCACCACATTTGTTCAATCTTAAGCTGTACAAGTATCTGACTGGGATGCTGAAGCCTCAGATGGGGGACTTGACTTGTTGATTACTAATGGGCATTACATTCTAAGATTCTCAATCTGTCCAGTTAACTGGCCATTTTACAGAATCAAAGAATTTTTGTAAAGTTCCACTAATATAGCAAACACTGCGGGATGCCAGCCAGAGGGTACACACTGTAAAGAAAACTTAGAAGTCCTGGGAACTGAAAGAGTATCAGAATGGTTTCAGCAGGTGAGCAAGGGAGAAACGACCTGGGGGTGGGGAGGAGGAAGGGGCCGGAGCTAGACCAAGTAGTGAACACCTCATACTGCACAGAGACTTCCGATGTCCATTCTAAGGATGATGACGAGCCACTGCAGGGGTTTAAGCAAGGAGTAACATGACTGGGTGAACCTTTAAGATTATTTTGGCTACCACAGAAGAAAAGATTGATAGAAGTTATGCAAAAAGACAGAGAGACCAAGAAAAAGACAGCAGGAAATGACAGTTGCCTGAACTAATGCAGCAGCCATGAAAATGTCAAACAACAGATACATACGATCCATTCTGGAGGTGAATCATGGAGATGGATTAGATGTGGAATGTGAGCCAAAGAAGCAAGGATGGTCCTAAATTTCTGTAAATAACAAGGGTGGTACGACGGTGTCATTTATTGAGCCAGGAAAGACTGGAGAACACTGGTAGCAGATGGGGAGGTGAAAAAATGCATCTGAGCTCCATGTGGAGCTCGTCAATCTGGAGACGTCTTCGTGACACTGAAGTAAAGATACCAACAGGCAGCCAAGTGCATGAACCTAGAGAGGCCTGGGCTAAAAATAAAGACATGGGAGCAGGTAACAGGAGGCACGTGGAGAGAAAACAATTCCCATCTCAGTGTTGTCTTATTTCATTACAAGAAAATATTTTTGGATTACTGGACACTATTAAGTGCCCATTTGGGTTTTCTTGAAATGTCTGATCTCAAACCTAACACTTTCCCCAGCAACATTCAGCTGCTGGTTGAGCTGCAGGAAGCATGAGAAAGGCGGACGGCACATGAGAAAGGCGGACGGCACATGAGAAAGGCGGACGGCACATGAGAAAGGCGAACGGCACATGAGAAAGACGGACGGCACATGAGAAAGACGAACGGTACATGGTTCATCCAGAATGGAAATTTTGTGTTTACAAAAGCTTCTGTGAATACAAAATTACTTTTGAAAGACAGAGGAAAAAGAGGTGATTTCATGGAATTACATCAAAAAAGAAGAGAAGCCAGAAGACGGCTAAAAGATAACTCACTCCAACCAATGGAGACAAAGGACACGATCACACTGAGCTCACTTCCATTACTGCTGAGAGCTTGTCACAACGGATTGGGGAAGGAGGGAACTGCCAGAGATAAAGGAAACACTATGAGACAGGCAATGTAGGACCTATTATAATAAATTCTTTTATGTCCATGGATTTAAGCCTATTTATGGAATAAAATCAGTTTAACAGTAGCTTTCCCCGATTTCACAGTCTCCTGAAATATTGTTTAGTTTGTGCACAATCTCAAATTCCACAGCATGTCACTAGACTTGGAGGAGATGCTGGGAAAATAACAAGCTTCTCAAACGAGAAAAAACAAAAATAGGGAGCAGATTCACTTGCAGTGAGCAAAGGGAAAAGAGTGGGAATCTTACTGTATTCATCTATGAAAAAAGCAAATTCATCCAATGGCTTGCAATGACACACACCTGCCCCAGTCACCCACCTGCCCCAGTCACCCTACCTGTCCCTAGTCCCCAGAGGCAACCACTTTCAACAGTTTTTAGTTCTTCTGGTGGCCTACTCCACCGTTCCAAACAGCTCTCCAGTCATCATTTCTTGGTTTGTCAACTTTGGGCATCGTGTGCAGATATATGACGTCACAAATCAGGATTGTGTGTTTACTCACTCTTCAACTCCCCTTCGTCCCGATTTTATTGTTATTTTTATTTTCCTCTGTGTTCGAACCCTTCTAGCTTCTGCATCTAGAAACTATCTCTTGAATCCCCATCCTGTGAGATGAATAAACTGACTCCCTCACCCTCCCTAACTTTTCTCTCTTCCATTTCTCCACCCTTGTCATCTGTGTTTGTAGAGTCTCAAGGTTTCTGCTCTGTAACTACAATTAAGTCTTCCATGCTTTGACTACAGATTAGTTCTAAACAGTGAAAACCACAAAACCAATAGGAGCATTAACATCATCAGCGTATAAATATTACACTAAAAGCTGAGTCCTGTACTAGGATTCCACTTGTCTAGGATTCACAAACTGCTCAAAATCATGACATACTTTAGCTTGCTTCATATTTGGACCAAGTTGTCTTAGTCCTAGAGTTCCTCTTTTCTTACTAGAGAAAAAACATGCCTTTTTCAACATTTTCCTAGTATCTTCCAGTTCCTCAATAATCCTAACCAATGCATGGAATTCATTCTGTTCTTGGAGCTACAGAATGAATTTAAAAAAAAAAAAAAAAAAAAAACACCTTGCAAAGACTGACTTGTTCCTGGTTATCCCCTTCAGAAGGTATGACTTTTCCCCCTGTCCTTTCATGAAAATTTTTCCCCTTTCATAGTAAAAATTAACAATAATTTTTAAGAGAAATGTCATGCATTATCTAATTGATATAACACAACTACTTTTATGTCTACATACTACTTGGAGTCCTTATCCACTGTAAATAAATTTAACACAATCATAGTTCACAACGATCCCCTTTTTATGGCTGTGTAACACTCCACTGAGTGGATATATCATAATTTATTAAACCCACTTGGGAAGCGGTACAAAGAAGTAGTTAAAGTACAGGCACAAGGCTGGGCGCGGTGGCTCATGCCTGTAATCCCAACACTTTGGGAGACCGAGACGGGCGGATCACAAGGTCAGGAGATCGAGACCATCCTGGCAAACATGGTGAAACCCCATCTCTACTAAAAATACAAAAAATTAGCAAGGTGTGTCGGCACACGCCTGTAATCCCAGCTACTCAGGAGGCTGAGGCAGGAGAACTGCTTGAACCTGGGAGGCGGAGGTTGCAGTGAGCCGAGATTAAGCCACCGCATTCCAGCCTGGGCGACAGAGCAAGACTCTGTCTCAAAA